CAGCCATTTACCCTGTTCCTCTTCTTAGTCTCCCCATTCTGCCGGGCCTTGTAATAAACTTATAGTCAATATGTCTGTCTCAGCATTTCTCTTTTCTTCTTTTTAAACAAAACAATAACAAGGGTCACCCCCAATCTCACGAACTCAAGCTCTCCAGCCCTCCTGAGGAACTCCTGAAGCAGGCACAGAAGAGCTACCTAGAACCAGCAGTGGGACATCCTCCCCACCCCCCTTATTCAGCAGAAGGTGACGGGGGATGTGGGCTCTCATGGCTCTGCCTTGTTCGAGGACTTCAGTATCCAGGGCTGGGCCACCTTCTCTCCAGCACTAAATGCACTAACAGAGCTTCAGACTCCTTCCTGCCACAGTATAAAGCTAACAAACAACAGATTATTTTTGTTCCAGGACCCTCCCCTGCCCCAAGCCAACGTGTCACCTGTAGACAGACTTTTATAGGAAGAGTTGGGATTTTTGGACTCAACTATTTCAGTTGGTTTCAAGCAGTTTCCAAAGGTGGCGAGCCTTGCCATGTTCTCGCCCAGGCTGCTGCTGAGGTACAAGGGACTTCAAGAAGTGGGAGAAGGAAGCAGGGCCTTGCCTGGTGAGTTGCTGTGGAGTTGGTGGTGACTTTTGTTTGGAATTATTTTTACAATTTAAATAAAAATGGAGGTGTCTATTTGGAAAGGTGTTATCATTCCTGGTCTTAGATGTTTGTTAACATTTTACTTTCTGGTCCTTTAAGAAAAAATGGCAACACTTAATATGTAATTAGAATCAAATACTTGGGGCTTTGTTACTGTGTTAGAGGAGGGGGGATCAGGTCTGGCTCTTGGTCCCAGCTCACACTTGTTGTCTTGGTTACTCTGAATATTCACCAGTATCCACTTCACTGTCCAGGGCTGGGGTTTAAGTAATGAGATCGCCCTGTTCAAGATTAAGCTCTAAGGAAAGCTTGGGTTTAATGAGGAGCTGCCAATTTTGAGGCTTAGAGCTCACTGTCCTAGCAGGTATCTCATTGCCCAGCACAGCCTAATTCTGCTGCTCAGGTAGACACTGCTTTCCTATGGATGAGGAAAGAGAAGGTAGCTTTCCAATGGTAGGCTAGAATGGGCCAGATTGTCAGCTTTCTTGCCCTGGCCTCTGGCATCTGCCCAAGTTTGTGGACCAAGACACAAAACCAGCAAGTTTGCAGTCTGCCTGCCTTTTGGGTCTTTTTACTTTTTAAGATTTATTATTTTTATTTCATTTCATGTATGAGTGTTTGCCTACATTTATCCATGTGCACCATATGGGTGCCTAAGGAGGCCAGAAGATGGCATTGGATGCCCTGAAGCTGGAGTTAGTGTGAGCTGCCATGTGGATGCTGGGAACAAACCAAGGTCTTCTGCAACCAAGGTCTGCAAGAACACAAGTACTCTTAACCACTGAAGCGTCTCTCCAGCTCCTTCTGTATTGTGTCTGCATTTTTTCCAATTGCCTTTTTCAACCAGGCAGGCTGACAAATTTTAGCATGCTGCCTGCAGTGTGCAGGCCTGCTCACAAAAGGAGCAGGAAGGCAGAGCCAGCCCAAGAGGTGACATTTACAGAGCTGACCCCATGGGGGTCTTTGATCTCAAAAGACGAAAGCAACAATAACCGAATGACAGTAGTTACATTAACGTGGACAGTGCACGTAAAATTCTTGCCAAACACCTCAAATTTTACTCATTTTACAAAAGCACAAAGAGACACATTGCTACAGAAAAACAGCTCTTAGCTTACATCCTGTAAACTCAGAATAGTCACATGGAAAGTTGGTGTGGATTCTTAGTTTTACTATAAAAGTTAAAGTTAAAAGTATACATTAAGAATTGAACTGTTTTCTTCTTTCTAGAGATGTGACACACATGCTTTCTGGTTGGTGACAGTCCACCAAAGATGACCAAAAAACTGTGTATTGCCCCTCTCCCCAGGCTGAGCTGGATTAGGGAAGCATCAACTTGGAAGGAGAGATTGTGACAGGAACAAATTGCAGAGTCCCTACACTCCAACAGAAAACCCAGCTCAATGGCCTACACAATGGACTGTAGACAAGCATGCACAAGCAGACTGTCATGCCAGGACTGCAGACAAGCATGCACAAACACACTTAGCACACCACACTGTCATGCCAGGAGTGCAGACAAGCATGCACAAACACACTTAGTATGCTGTTGTGACAGAGCTGCAGCCTGTTTCTAGCATACAGTCTGTTTGCACTGGTACCCAAGAAGAGGGGCACTAAATTGGAAAGCAGATTTACACTCGCAGTTCTCACAACTAAAAAAGCACACAGCATATAATACTTTGATCTTTTAAGTGGTTGATCAAGGGCGTTCCAAGATCATACTCACTAGATTAGCCTGAGTTTTCATCTATAAAAATAGGTTTCTTGAAAATAATGCTTAGAGTCTTAGAGGAACAGTGGAACTAAGACCAGCAGAATTCGCTGTTGAAAGGACAAATAATGTAAGATCGGGAGTTCCTTTTTGATTGTGGGTAGAGGACATCTTTCTCAGGAGGTTCAGAAATCAGGACAGGCAGCTGGACCCAGTAACTCCCTAGATATACCCTCCCAAACAAAACCCCATTGAGGCTGAGGACTGAAGCTGACCTGTGCAGAAACAGCTGTGAGCGCACAAGAGCTCATGTAAAGCCTGCCAGGTGACGGGCTCACGGTGGTGTGCTGTCCACACTGCTGACACACTGTACTACCACATTGCTGGGAAGGGCCCCCAGGGGAGGTGGCCAACATGGGCCTGCTCCAGGAGTCACTCAGAAGCACCTGGGAGAGGTGCCTGCATTGGGAGAGGAGGGATGGACACGAAGGTGTTTCTGGACAAGGGCCAGGAGGGTCAGTCATGTTTTCAGGACTCATCTATACTTGACATGATGCATCTGTCATCATTAGCCCATACTTCTCTGAGTCAGCTGGGCTGGTGACCTCACAGTGATCACACCATGTCTGAAGGTGGGACCTAGTGCCGCAGATTGTTCTGGGAAGCTGGTGTAGAAGACGACTTGCACAGAGAAGTCACCACCAAGCCGCTGCTTAAGTCCAGTCCTCGGCCTTCCTTTTCCTACAGAAGGAAGCAGACAACTTCAAGATGCTTTCCTAACTCAGGAGCCACCAGGGCTGGAGAATGGCGGGGACAGCAGGGTAGGCTTGTGAGCTCCCAAGGAGCACACAGGGAGGGGGGCAAGGCAGCAGGGTAGTCCCAGTTTTTCTCAAATATGGCGTTAGACACACCTGGGGGTGGGGATCAAGACTTTCTTGGGGCTGGAGAAACGGCTCAGTGGTTAAAAAGCACTGGCTGCTCTTCCAGAGGACCTGGATTTGATTCCCACCAACCTAGCACATAACTGTGTATATGTCCAGTCCCATGGGCACCAGGCATGCATGTAATGCTCAGACATAAATGCAGGCAGACACATAAAAAATAATAAGTTTTAAAAACACGACTAGCCAAGCATTGGTGGCACACGCCTTTAATTCCAGCACTTGTGAGTCAGAGGCAGGTGGATCTGTGTTCAAGGTCAGCCTGGTCTACAGAGCAAGTTCCAGGATAGCAGAGACTACACAGAGAAGCCCCATCACAAAAAACAAACAAACAAAATACTGGAACTGGACATAGTGCCATGACTTTAATTCTAATACTCAGGAGTTGAGGCAGGAGAATCTCTGAGTTTGAGGCCAGGTTGGTCAACATAGCAAATTCCAGGCTACACAAGCAAGACTCTGTCTCAATAAATACATACATAAACCAAGTAAGGCAGCTGCTCTAGCTTTTGAAACATTTTCTTTTTTTCAATTTAAATGAGCCTGCATAGTAAAGTGAGAGAATGAGACTTGCTCTTTGTTGGGAACACTGAGCTCATTTCATCAAGACATAGAAAGGTCCTGGGCAGCATGGAACAGCAACTTCTATTTATTCCTCAAAAGCTAACAAACAACTACTAGCCATTTTCAGGGGGAACAAAAGATAGAGGGTACATGGCAGGTGGTTGTCTCTGCAGTTCTACCTCTTGCTCTCTGTATGGCTCGCTGAGGCTAAATAGGCGAGCGCTAATAACTTACTGCTCTGTAGTACAGGAACATCTCCTTGAAAGCCAGAAAATCTGTGAATGTGAGCAGCATGTCAAAGATGTCACCAGCCACCTCATCCTTATGGTGCCTGCAAAGGACAGAGTGTTGGTTTTGTAAATCAACAGGAAGACAGACTCCCTTCAAGGTGTACAAGCCAAGCATGGTGGGGCATGCCTGTCAGCACCTGGGTGGAGGCTGAAGGACCAGGCTTGTAGCCAGCCTTGGCTATAAGAGGCCCTGACTCAAAACAAACAAACAAAAACCCAAATAAGTAAAAATACGGACTGGAGAGAAGGCTCAGTGGTTAAGAGTACTTGCTGCTCTTACAGAGGACCCAGAGTTGTTCCCAGCATACATGTGGCCAATCACAACTGCCTATAACTCCAGTCATAGGAGATCTAACACCCTCTTCTGGCCTCTGTATGCTCTTGCACATACATGGTACACATAAACTTATGCAGGCTCACACATACATAGATACACACATACATACATATATACACACAAATTTAAAAATAGATAACTCTCTTCAAAAATAAGAATAAAGGGCTGGAGAGATGGCTCAGTGGTTAAGAGCACTGACTACTCTTCCAGAGGCCCTGAGTTCAATTCCCAGCACCCACATGGCAGTTCACAACTCTCTGTAATTCCAGTTCCAGGGGTCCCAACACCCATGGAAAACAAAACAAAAACATCAATGCACATAAATTAAACAAATAAATGAATAAAAGAAAAATACTGGCATTAAAAAAATAAAATAAAATGCCTTGCAAAGGCATAGAGGGCCTCCCACTCAGGACCCAGCCACCCAGAGTTCTAAGTGAAGAAAAAGAGAGTGGGATTTCTTCAGTTAGGGGAGGAAGATGGGAAGCACAGAAGCAGAGTCAAGCTCAACTCACTGCAGTGTTGTTGTGAAAGCAGCCATGTTGAAGCCTGGGATACGCTCCAGCAGCTGCTCTTCAATGTACTTCTCTACCAGGGAAATCTGCAACAGTGGAGACATTAATGTGTGGGCCTCTGGGAAGAAGTGAGACTTCTTTGTAAAGCCTAGATCTATCTTTAGTAGTCATCAACTGTGTGTGTGTGTGTGTGTGTGTGTGTGTGTGTCTGTCTGTCTGTCTGTCTGTCTGTCTGTCTGTCTGCATATATGACGTGAGTGCAAATGCCTGCAGAAGCCTGAAGAGGGTGCTGGATCTTCTAGAACTAGAGTTACAGGTAGTTGTTAGCCACTGGCTGTAGGTGTTAGAACCAACCTGCAGTCCTCTGGAAGCCATCTGTCCAGCCCCGTGCTTATTACTTTATTCATCATGACTGGGTGTATGGTGTATGTGTGAGTGGACATGCATGTACCACAGTGTGCATGTGGACGCCAAAGGACAACTTCTATGGAACCGGCTCTCTCCCTCCACTTCTTACTGGCACTGTTTATTCTTCACAGCACACAAACGCAAAATAACACAACTGAAGACAACCTTACGGTAAAGGCAACTTTGTGTTAAACAAGAAGTTGCAAGCTCATCAAATACTTCATGAATGCCCTTTTGAAAATAGCTCTAAGAGCAGGGTGTTGGTGGCACACGCCTTTAATCCCAGCACTCCGGAGGCAGAGGCAGGGGGGTCTCTGAGTTAGAGACCAGCCTGGTCTACAGAGCGAGTTCCAGGACAGACTCCAAAACTACACAGAGAAACCCTGTCTCGAAAAACAAAAACAAACCAACAAACAAAAAAATGAAATAAAACAAATAAATAAATAAAAAAAGAAAGAAAGAAAAGAAAATAGCTCCAAGATCTGGCAAGAGAAAATAATCTAAACCAGATTCTCATCAGCATTCCTCTTGGCAGTGCTGGCATATATAAAAAGTAAACTAATTCCAGCTAATCTTGCTAAACAACCTAAGCTGACTCAAAATTCACTAAGTAGCCTAGGGAGGCTTATAACTTGCAGACATCCTCTTGCCTCAGCCTCCTTAGTGCTGGTTTACATGTGCCACCAAGCTTTGTAACAGCTTCTGATTCTAATTCAAACATCTTGAATTAATATATATTAATTATACTTAATGGATCTAAGTTCAAATTTTAAAGAAACCCTAATCTTCTGGTAGGAGAAACAGATCTACTTACATATTCATTAAAAATGGGGGTATATGTGAGTTTATTCTCCTCTGTGTCTTCAAACTCCTGGTAGTACTTGTCCATGAAGTTCCTCTGCAATAGCTGGAACTCATCATCTGAAACAAGGGAAGTCCGTCTTTGTAATGAGGTGCAATGCTACTGTGTTGCTTTCCCAGAAGCCGCATGGCAGCTTACAAGGCAGCTCACAACCTTCTGTAACTCAGTCCCAAGCAGTCTGATGCCTCTGTCTGACTTCCACAGACATCAGGCACACACATGGTTCACATACACACATTCAGGCAAAACACTCATAAATATAAAATAATAACCACAAAAACCAATGAAAAATTTATTAAGATACACCTAAAATTTAAAAGTTCAACCTTTTTAAAATATGCAGTTTGTTGGCTTATAAGTAACTGTGTTCACATTGCTTTGCAATATTTTATTTTTTAGCTTTTTAAGATAGGGTCTCCATAGATGCATATTCTTGGCTGGCCTGGAATTCACTATGTAGACCTGGCTGGCCTTGAAATTGTAGCCATTCTCCTGACTCTGAGTGCTGGGGTCACAGGTATATAACACACCAGATAATGGAGGCACACGCCTTTAATCCCAGCACTTGGGTGGCAGAGGCAGGCACACCTCTGAGTGTCAGGCCAGCCTGGTCTACAGAGCTTTGAGTTCCAGGGTAACCAGGGCTATACAAACCCTGTCTGGAGAAATCCAAAACAAAAAAACCCCAGGTATATGCTACAATATATCCAAACAGGATAACTTGTGAACCTCCTCACATTAATTGTTCACCAAGAAGTACCTGGTACCTCTCTTTCACACAAATTTATTGTGTATACAAAAGGTCAGCTCTCCAGTTGAGAGACTTCAATGGCAAGAAGCCCCATCTCTCCTAGTTAATTTGTTTTATTATTAAATAACATTTATTTATTAATATTTATGTGCATATGTGCACATGCTTGCCATGGTGTAAGGGCGGAAGTCAGAGGAAAGCCTGTAGAAGTTTCTTTCCTTCTACTGCCCACACACGAGTCTTGGGAATTGAACTCAGGGTGTCAGGCTTGGCACCAAGTAGCACCAAGTACTTACACACTGAAACATCTCATTTGTCCTTTTTTTTTTTTTTTGGCTACACATTTATTTTGAGACAGGGTCTCACTGTGTAGCCCTGACTGGCCTGGAACTCACAAAGATCCTTTTGCCTTTTCCTCCTGAGTACTGGAATTGAGGGCATGTGCCATAGTACCCACTAGAGGTTGGGTGTTGATTCTCCTACCATGTGGGTCTCACAGATTGAACTTGGACTGTTAGGCTTGAAAGCCATCTTGCTGCCCCCCTCCCCTCCTTCTCCTATTTTACTATTGTTTTAGCAGCAACAGTGAAAACCACATAATGGGTTAAAGGGTGGGACCTGCAAGAGGCCACTGCTTGGACTCAAACCCTACCTCAGCCATATATTTTGTGTACTCTTGGACCAGTGACCTTATTTCTGCAGACCCCAATCTCTTCCATTGTCTGTCTGTCCCAGGGGCTTGCTAAGTAGAATTCAGAGGAGAGTCCAGGTAGAGATTAACAGCAAAACACTCGAGGTCAGGAAGTAGGGAATTCTGACAACAGAACTGAGTAGCATTTCTACAACTAATAGGGAAATCTTTGAAAGAGGCCCAGACAGGAAGAAGCTCATTTCTCCATAATAAGCAGGATACCCATGGTGGGTGAAACTACTAAAATCTCCTTAGGACAGAGCTTCTGGAGAGACACAGGAGGTAAGGCTTGGATCCTGACAGGGTGGAAAGGTTCAAAAAGTGTTGTCAGTGGTTTTTCAGACTAACGTGGGTTAAGCCACATACCCCAAAATCAGACAGCACTATCTTTTCCTGATTACTAGAAAAATTAGTAAACTGTCAAAATTTTGTTCAATTTAATTTTTTCCTCCTACCTATTTGTCTTCAACTCTGAAGACAAATCAGAGGGATCAGAGGGATCCAGAAATAGGAACTAAGAATGCAAGGAAATAGGAGTGTATGTTGGTTCATGCCTGCAATCCTAGCTCTAGGGAAGCTGAGGCAAGATCAAGGTAAGATCAAGGCCGGCATGCATGTGAGACACTAAAAAACAAAACTCTAAACACAAAACCAACCAACAAAAAAATTCATCAAGAAAACAGATCCAAGTGGCTCACACCTTTAATCCCAGGCAGATGGATCTCTGAGTTGGAGGCTAGCCTAGTCTACAGAGTGAGTTCCAGAACAGCTAGAGCTACACAGAGAAACACTGTCTCAAAACAACAACTACAAAAACTAAACAGCACAAAAAAAGAAAATGAAGAGATCCAAGGAGATTTGACACTTTGTTTTTACATGGACAAGTGTTGCATAGGGTTATGGTTTATGTTCTGTTCTGAATGGAAATGGTAAAGCTCAAAATGACTCAAAATTGCTTTTACTTTATGTGAAATAAAATTGGTCAAACATTACCTGAAGCCTTGCCAAGAGCTCTCTCCTACCCACCAGGTGACTGGTTTTCTGAATTTGTCTCCTCTGAAAGCTTTAATCAATGCCATTATTTAAAAAGCACTGGATCTTATAGAGCAGAGCCAGGATCAGAACCCCCCAGATTCTTTGTGTTGAGATAACAAAGGTGTGCCAAATACTAGCTTTTGGGGTTCTTTCTTTTTTAATTATATTTTTTATTTATTTTGTTTGTGCATGGGCACATACCTGCTACAGGCTGTGTATGAATGCCTGAAGACAACTTTTGGAAGCCAGTTCTACCCAGTGGATACGGAGGATTAAACTAAGGTGGCCAAGCTTGCTGGTGAGTGCCTCTACTCACTGAACCATCTTGCCAATCCTACTTGTTTCTCAGACAACAGATCTTAGTATGGCTTGCTTATTATTACATTGTGTTGTGTTAAACTTTCAGTGTACCTTGATGTTTTGTGTTGTAAAAACTAACTCTTCAAATTTCTTACTTCGAATGCTCTGATAAGCAAAGGTTTGGATTGTTGAGATGGTTCAGTGGCTAAAGGCACTGCTATACAAGCCTGGTGACTTCAGTTCAACACTTGGAACCCACATAAAGCTGGAAGGAGAGAATCAACTCCACAATGTAGTCTTCTGACCTCCACTTGTACATAGTGGCCTAGGAAACCCCCTTCCCCCAGTCTCACACAAAAATGAATACATTTTTAAAAGTTGTTTCTATACAAATTGTTTTATGTCTGTCTACATAAGTATTAAGGGACTCACCTAAGGAACTAGAAGGGTCACTTAGTGTTGTGGAAACTTACCCATAATAATGTCCTCTAGACACCCAACCACAGCATCAAATTCTGCATCAGAGGCGGAGGAGCTGAAAAACACATCAGGATTAGGTGCTGGTCCAAATAATTATTTTAGAAGTTAAATTTGTGTTTTCTGTGGGAGTGGGGGTTGAACCCAAGACCTTGCGCATACAAGGCAATCACAACAATAACCGCAACATTTTTAAATGTAAGTTTTCCAACGTGCATAAAAAGAATCACAAGCTGAACCTCCCATCACTTGGTTTCAGCAGTCAAGGATTTCTGTCTGGCCTTGAAATTCTAAATGCAGGGAAATACCAGTGATCAAACCCTAGTTGTGGCAATCACAAAAGAAGCAAACAGTATGGGGAGGTGAGGCTGGCCTGGCACACCTTCAGACTTCCGCTTTTACTACCCGTGGGATCTACTCACCGCATCCTGGCTCTTAGGCCAGAGAGGGGTGTATCTGCGGGTGAGTGTGACCACCGAAGGAGCACCGGCCTAGAGGCTAACTGGAGTGGCCTGAGAAGGGCGGTGAGGCCGCCGCCAGCTCTGGGCAGCTCAAGGCCTCTAGGTTTTGCTGACCGCTAAGATTCAGGCTAGAGGATTGTGATGGAAGCGCTGGTAATCGGTGACATAGACCCGCAGAGGCCGCGGGTTGGAAACGCCCCGCTAGAGCTGAGCCTCGGCCCCGGCCCGCCTGCCCGCGCCCGGCCCCCGCAGGCAGGCGACACTCACAAGGACAGCGCGAAGCTCTCTTCTTCCAGGGCGT